GTGATTCTCCTGCCTGAGCCTCCCTGGTAGCTGAGGCTACAGGTGCATGCCACCATGCCTGGCTCATTTAAATATTTTTGGTAGAGACAGAGTTTCACCATGTTGCCCAGGCTGGTCTCAACCTCCTGACCTCAAGTGATCCTCCAATCTAAGCCTCCCAAAGTGCTGGGATTTTAGGCGTGAGCTACTGTGCCTGGCCTGGAGTAATTTTTTAAAAGTTCAAATCCTTCCACCCCATGTCAGGGCTACAGAGCACATGAAGAGAACAGACAGAGTGAGTACGGAGTGAATGCCCAGTCTGTTCTGTGGCCCTGACCCCGGCTTGCCCTCCTTTCCCCACACTGGCCGAATTCCAGATGCTCAAAGTTCTGAGCTCCAGCTGCCTCAAGCCTTCGCATATTCTGTTCCCTTTTTCTGAATCATCCTCTTCCTCCTCCTCCCCTCAGCTGAAATGTTGCTCCCCAGACCTCTCTTTTTAATCACTCCTGTTTTTCTTCATAGTGCTTCCTACAGTTGCCGTTTATTACATTATCATGTAGTTTCTTAATCTGTGTCTTTACCATTGGACAGCAGTCTGCGGGGGCAGCTCTCTTGTTCACTGGAGGGTACTGTGCTTCCTGGAGCCCAGTTGGCTCGCCATACATATTGAAGGCATTTGGACCAGCAGGGTTAGTGAGGACCCACCCAGAATAACTTTGCTACTCCCAGGAGAGTGAGCCATGATTCCTTCAGGGCCCACAGAATGTGCCTTTGGCTTGAATTCAGGGAGAAAGTCAAAGAATGGAGGGTGAATGGAGTGCTCTTTGCTCAGAGACTCTAACCTGATCATTCAGTCGCTCTGCTGTCTCCTCTCTAGTCTCTCTGATCATTTTTGCTGGGATCCCATCCAAACAGTCAGGGAGCTGGCTATCCGTGGTGCTTGGCACAACCCCCGACTCTGGGGCATGAGCCCTGGGAACAAGCCAGCTCCACCAGCTGGGGTGTGCTTGTTGACTGTGCTGCTGGCCAGAACCCCTCCCCTGACCTTGAAGGACTTCAAACCCCAGGCCTTTATCATCAGACTGAGGGAATGGTGGTCAAGAGCTGCCCTTGGCTGTGTGAATGAAGCTGGCTGCAGTTTTGTCTTACTGAGAAGAGAATTAGAAAAGAAACTTTTTTTTTTGAGATAGGGTCTTGCTTTTCTGCCCAGGCTGGAGTGCAGTGGTGTGACCATAGCTCACTGCAGCCTTGAATTCCTGGGTTCAAGTGATCCTCCCACCTCAGCCTCCTGAGTATTTGGGACCACAGGCATGCACCACCACACCCAGCTAATTTTTAATTTTTTTTTTTGGTAGAGACAGGGTCTCCCTATGTTGCCCAGTTTGGTCTCAAACTCCTGGGCTAAAGCGATTCTCCTACCTTAGCTTCTCAAAGTGCTAGGATTACAAGCCATCACACCCAGACAGAAGAGGTTTTTTTTTTGAGACAGGGTCTCGCTTTGTCACCCAGGCTGGATTGCAGTGGTGCGATCTCAACTCACTGCAATCTCCGCCTCCCGTGCTCAAGTGATCCTTCCACCTCAGCCTCCTTTGTAGTGGGGATTACAAGTGTACATCACACCCAACTAATCTTTGAATTTTTAGTACAGAAGAGGTTTCACCATGTTGCCCAGGCTGGCTGAGAACTCCTGGGCTCAAGCAGTGCACACACCTCAGCCTCCCAAAGTGCTGAGATTACAAGCATGAGCCATCATGCCCAGAAGAGAATTTTTTTTTTTCTTAGACAAGGTTTCACTCTGTTGCCCAGACTGGAGTGTAGTGGCAAAATCTCGGCTCACTGCATCCTCCGCCTCCTTCAAGCAATTCTCCTGCCTCAGCCTCCCAAGTAGCTGGGATTACAGGTACTTGCTACTACACCTGGCTAATTTTTGTATTTTTAGTAGAGAATAAAATAGTGTAGTGTGTGTGTAGTGTGGGCATGTGTGTGTATGTGTGTAGAAATGGGTTTCACCATGTTGGTGAGGCTGGTCTTGAACTCCTAACCCTTGACCTGCCCACCTCAGCCTCCCAGAGTGCTGGGATTACAGGAATGAGCCACTGTACCCGGCCCCAGAAGATAATTTTTTTAATCAGCATTTTCTTTCCTTTCTCCCCCCGCCCCACTCCCACCCCTCTCTCTTTGTAACAAAATAAAGCAGTAAAACAGCTAGAGGGTAGGGGCACTCTATCCCCAGCACTTAGAGCAATGGCTGCTTCACATTATATGTTGAATAATTGAATGGATGAATGGATGAGTGAATAAATACCCACAGAGTCAGATGAGAGGTGAGCCGAGGTTATCATGTGTGCATATGTGGCTGGTGGGGGTGGGTGGTATGTGGTATGTGTGTGCGGGGTGTGTATGTGTGGTGTGTGTGGGCTGTATGTGTATATGTGTGGTGTGTGTGTGTGTGGTGGGGTGGATGTATGTGTGTGGTATGTGTATGTGATGGGTGTGTATATGTACATATGTGTGTGTGAGGGGTGGGCTCTGTGTGTGTGGTGGGTATGTGGCTATGTGTGTGGGGTGTGTGGTATGTGTGTGGGATGTATGTGTGTGTGATGTGGGGAGTGTGATGTGATGTGTGTGTGGTGTGTGTATGCATGTGTATGTGTGGGGGTGGGGGGCATGTAGGGGTTGGGAATGTATCTGTATGAGGGTTAGTGTGTATGTGTGTGTGGTATATGTATGTGAGGGGTGGGGACGTGGGTGTGTATGTGTATAGTGTGTGTGGGGGGTGTGTATGTGTGTGCAGTGGGGGGCATGTGGGGTGTGTTGTGTGTGTACATGTGGGGGCATGTGTGTGTGATGTGTGTGTGGTGTGTGTATATGCATGGGGGTGTGGGTGTGTATGTGTATGGGGTGTGTGTGTGTGTAGTGGTGGCATGTGGCAGTGTGGGGTGTGTATATGTGGGGAGTGTGTGTGTATGTCTGTGGGGGTGAGGTGTGGGGGTGTATGTCTGTGGGGTGTGTGTGTACCTGTGGGGGGAAGTGTGGGGATGTAATATGTGTGTATGTGTTTGTGATGTGTGTATCTGTGTGTGGGGTGGGATGTGGGTGTGTATGTGTGGGGTGTGTGTGTGTCGGGGTGTGTGTGAGGGTGTGGGATGTGTAGTATGTGTGTACATGCAGGTGTGTGTGTAGTGTGTGCATGTGTGTAGTGTGTGTACTGTGTGCATGCGTGTGTATGTGTGTAGTACATGTGTATGTATTGTGTGTGTGTGTGTGTATGTGTGTGGTGTGTTTTTGCTTTTCACTAGGGCTCCTTGCCGGTGCTGCTCTGCAGATTCTCTTCATCCTGTCTGGGGACCCGACAAGGCAGAAATGATCATGATTTCTCTCCCTGTCTGGGCTCCTCACTTACCTCTCTGAAGACATCCTCTTTAGGCTGAGCACAGTGGCTCATACCTACAATCCCAGCATTTTGGGAGGCCGAGGAGGAGGATCGCTTGAGGAGTTTGAGACCAGCTTGGACAATATAATGAGACCTTGTCTCTACAAAACAATTAAAAAAAAAAAAAAAGCCAGTCATGATGGTACAGACCTGTAGTCCCAGCTACTTGGGAGGCTGAGGTGGGAGGATCACTTGAGCCCAGGAGGTTGAGGTCGCAGTGAACTATAACGGCACCACAGCACTCCAGCCAGGGCAAGAAAGCGAAACCCTGTCTCAAAAAAAAAAAAAGATTCTCTGTAGATTTAGATCCAGTGGAATAGTGCTCAGCTTGGCACTGGAGGGCCGAGCATGAACCTGTGTCACCTGTGAAAGGGGGCTCTCCATCAGAGGAGATGGAAGAAGGTCCTTCGATGACAAGTCAGAGAGCAGCGTCCCAAGCTCTCTCCGACAGCAGAGTCACCTCTACAGCTAGACATGGTCATAATTAATCCTGGCAAACACTGTGAGGGAGTGTGATTGTCCTCATTTTAGAGATGAGGAAACTGAAGATCATAGGAATTAAGCTGAAAATTGCCAACGGGTAGATTCAAAAATGAGATTTTAAGAAATGAGATAAAATCTGTAGATTTTAAGCGCACAGCTCTCTCCATGTCTGTCTCCTGATGTTCATTACGAATGAATTTCCTCTTGTCATTAAAGATTGAAAGGAATTTAGTTAAATAACTAAAATTTTCCTTCTTTTCTCTTTGATTTTCTGGTAGTTTATGTTTGAGATAGCAAGAGCTAATTCGCTACAGTTGGCAAATGCCGCTACGTGACAGGAATGTCAACAAGAGCAATTCCACAGCTGTAGTAGCTGCAGAGAAGCTGTTAGAGAAGTAGGTTTCAGCTTCTTTCTTTTCCATGTTTTATTTTGTTTTTGTTTTTGAGAAGGACTTTCACTCTTGTTGCCTAGGCTGGAGTGCAGTGGCATGATCTCAGCTCACCGCAACCTCCTCCTCCTGGGTTCAAGCAATTCTCCTGCCTCAGCCTCCCAAGTAGCTGGGATTACAGGCATGTGCCACCAAATGCGGCTAATTTTGTATGTTTAGTAGAGACGGGTTTCTCTATGTTGGTCAGGCTGGTCTCAAACTCCTGACCTCAGGTGATCTGCCTGCCTCGGCCTCCCAAAGTGCTGAGATTACAGGTGCAAGCCACCGTGCCCAGCCAGTTTCACTTCTTTCTGATCCAGTGGTTCTCAAATGGGGGCACTTCTCCACCAGGGGACACTTAGCAATGTCTGAAGACATTTGGGTTGTCACAGCTGGGGAGAGGGTTGCTACTGGAATCTAGTGGGTGGAGGATGCTCTAAACATCCTGCTATGCTCAGGACAGCCCCCATAACAAAGAAATATTCGACCCCCGTTGTCAGAGTGCCGTGGTTGAGAAAGTCTGTTGTAACTCAAGGTGTGTTGAGGGTAGGTTTCAAGGTATTCAAGTAGTTTCAAGACCACGGATCTTCAGATTACATCTTTCTATGAACTGAAGTAAAGCGGGAGGGCCCTGGAACCCTGGAGCTGCTTCCTGACCTAAGCCGTGATCTCTGCAGAGGCTGACGCTTGTGCTTGCCCTGGCAACCCTGATAGCTGCCTTTGGGTCGTCCTTCCAGTATGGGTACAACGTGGCTGCTGTCAACTCCCCAGCAGTGGTAGGTCACTGTGGTGAGCAAGATGTGGGGAGGGTGTTTGGAGCAGCTTATTGCCTGGGTGGGACTGGCCAGGGAGGGGCTGCTCATGCAGCGGGTCTTCAAGCAAAGGGAGAGGGAAACACGGCACAGACCTGAGGGAACTCTCAGACACGGGGCCCTTGGGATGGGCCAGGTCTGGCTGAACACACAGTGGGCCGGGCTCCAGGACGGGGCTCAGATCTTCTGTGGTCTTGTGGTTTAGAGGGAATCCGGAGGGGCCAGGGGTCTCCTTTCTAGCTGAGAAATACCCAGGGTGGCTTGCTGGTCAGAGGCTTCCCAGCCCTCCCTGTGGTACCCACCTGCTCGCTGCTCACAAAGCTTTGTCCTGCCTCCCACCCCACCCCCCGGGGAATAAGGTTGGTCTCTGTGCACTGTTGTGTTGGGTGTCCTAACAGCTAATGTTCTTCCTGCAAAACCAGATCACATTATTTTGGTGTTGTTTTGCTTTGTCTCCTAGTACATGCAACAATTTTACAATGAGACCTACCGGGATAGGACTGGTGAATTCATTGAAGACTTCCCCTTGACGTTGCTGTGGTCTTTAACTGTGTCCATGTTTCCCTTTGGAGGCTTTATTGGATCCCTCCTGGTCGGGCCCTTGGTGAATAAATTTGGCAGGTAAGGGAAGGGGAATCTAATTCCCTGAAACTCATAGACTCCCATCAGAGCTAAAACATAGGCCTACCACTGAAATCCTTACCATGAGACTAGGATAATAGGATAATAATCACCGTGGTCATTGTTCTTTTCTTTTCTTTTTTTAATTTGAGTTGTCCAGGCTGGAGTGCAGTGGCACAATCTCGCCTCACTGCAACCTCTGCCTCCCAGGTTCAAGCCATTCTCCTGCCTCAGCCTCTTGATCCTCGGATCACAGGTGTACACCACCACACCCAGCTAATTTTGTGTTTTTAGAAGAGATGGGTTTTCACCATGTTGGTCAAGTTGGTCTCAAACTCCTGATCTCAGGTGATCCACCTGCCTTAGCCTCCCAAAGTGCTGGGATGACAGGGGTGAGCCACTGCGCCTGGCTGGTCATTTTTATTTTCTAATGGGGTCAGAAAAGAAGACCAGACATTGTCAGTGTTTGGAGACCTAGGCAGGGTCTCATGGGTTAGAAGCAGGGGTGGCCTGGGATCTGCAGGCTCTCGGCGGACCCAGAAGGAGCCTTGAGTGCTTGTGGAGACCCAGGACTCGCTTTGGCTTACACTGCCCTTTTGCCCCCACAGTGTCATATAGGACATCTCTCTTGTGACACCAACCTCGTGAACACAGGGGGGGGGGGGGGGTCAGGGCTGTATCTTGCCCCTATTTCTAGAAACATTAGAAATTCCATATTTTATTCCAAAAAAGTTTCCTTAAGATATCACACTCTCCCATGTAACTTCCATGGACATTATGGAGGACCTAGTTAGAAACAGAATTATAGAGGTCCCCTCATCCAACTCCAGTGATGAGGAGCGCACGGGGGCTGAGTGAGGTCACAGATCTCGTGAGCCCAGAGCCAGGACTGTAATCCAGACACCGATTCCTCCTCCAGTATTTCTAGAAAAGAATCTGAGAATAAAAACACACGGCTGGGTGTGGTGGCTCACACCTGTAATACCAACACTTTGGGAGGCTGAGGTGGGGCGATCATTGAGGTCAGGAGTTAGAGACCAGCCTGACCCACATAGTGAAACCCATCTCTACTAAAAATACAAAAAAAAAAAAAAATTAGCCGGGTATGGTGGCACATGCCTGTAATCCCAGCTACTTGGGAGGCAGTGGCAGGAGAATCACTTGAACCGGGGAGGTGGAGGTTTGCAGTGAGCTGAGATCACACCACTGCACTTCAGCCTGGGCGACAAGAGCGAAACTCCAAAACAAACAAAAAGACACCGCCACTGCTTTGGGATCTAGCATTTTCTTGAGAGGTTAGTGTTGAACCCGTAATTTTCCCTGTGGGCCCCCATGGAGCAGAACATCCCTCCAGTCAGAATCAGACCTGCAGGACACTCCTTGAGTGAATAGCGTGCCGTTTGGTCCACAGATGGAGCTGAAGGTTGCTAATTGAACTGTCTTCTTGGGAGTCTGATAAATGCTATTTGGCTTGCCATTTTCTTAAGTATTTGTGTTATTTATTTATTTATTTATTCATTTATTGAGGCAGAGTCTTGCTCTGATGCCCAGGCTGGAGTGCAGTGATATGATCTTGGCTCACTGCAACCTCCACCTCCCGGGTTCAAGCCATTCTCCTGCCTCAGCCTCCCAGGTAGCTGGGATTACAGGCACCTGCCACCATGCCTGGCTAATTTTTGTATTTTTAGTAGAGACAGGTTCTCAAACTCCTGGCCTCAAGTGATCCACCCACCTCAGCCTCCCAAAGTGCTCGGATGACAGGGTGAACCACCACGTGCAGCTGGTGTCATTTAAATAATAGTAGCAACTAACATTTATTAATGAGTTCCTATGTGCCAGGCACTATCCTGACTGCATTTAGAAGTACTATTACAATCCCCACTTTAAAGATGGGGAAATGGTGCACAGAGAGACATTGTAACTTACCCGAGATCACACAGCTGGGAGGTGGCCAGGACTCCAACCCAGGACATTTCACTTCTGAGTATGAGCAAGTAACCTCTATACTCTACTTCTGTTATTTAGGGCAAATATCTTCTCAGTCTCTTGCCTTATTTTTTAATCATACCTATAGCACCTTTTTAACGCAAAATTTTAAAGTCTTCAAGTGGTCAAATTTATAGTTTTTGCTTTTCAACTAGGGACACTTAAAAAGCAAAAACTATAAATATATATATGTGAGACAGGGTCTCCCTCTGTCACCCAGTGGGGCAGTGCAGTGGCATGATCATAGCTCACTGCAGTCTGGAACTCCTGGGCTCAAGGGATCCTTCTGCCTCAGCCTCCTAAATAGCTGGAACTACAGGTGTGCACCACCATGCTCTGCTCATTTTTCAGTTTTTGTAGAGACAGGGTCTCACTATGTTGCCCTGGCTGGTCTGGAACTCCTGGGCTCAAGCAGTCCTCCCACCTTGGCCTCCCAAAGTGCTGGGATTATAGTCATGAACCACTATGCCTGGCCTCTCCTATATTTTTAAAATTAATTTCACAATTTTGTTCTTCCAGATAGATCTGGTATTTTATTTTGATGAGAGAGAACTAATTTTATTTTTTTTCCAAGTGGAAAGTCACTTGCTCTCAAATTTATCTTAGTTACTCGTGTTCCTTTACTCTTCCATTTAAAATTTTAAGTCAGCTTCTCAAATTCGCTGAAAAAATATTCTGATTGGCATTACTCTGAATTTACAAATTAACCTAAGGAAAACTGACATCCCTAGAAGCTTCCCATCGTCTTCAGGTCTTCTTAGATGTCCTTCAAGAAAGTTTCATTGTAAAGGACCAAGGATTTAGTTTTGTTCCTGGGAGTCACTGTGGTTCCTTGTCTGAAGTTTTACGTCTTTGTCATTTCTAGGAAGTTTTCAGCCAGTATCGCTCCAAATACCACCCCTCCCCTATTTTCTATAGCCTTTGCTTCTAGAACTCTGAAGTTCCTCCATGTCTTTGAATCTCTCATATTTCCCATCTTCGTATCTCTGTCAGGTGCTTTCTAGGTAATTTCTGCAGGTCTCCCTTCCCATTCATTAATTCTCTCTTCAGATATAATAAGCCTGCTATGTTTTAAATTTTAAATGAAAAATGATTATATTTTTTATTTCAATAAGTTCTGCTTATTCATTTTTAAAATCTATTTTCTATCATTGTTTTAGATAACTTTTATAGTTTTTTTGTTCTTTCCTATAGTACTATTTTATATTTTATTTTATTATTTATTTATTATTTTTTTTGAGATGGAGTCTCGCTCTATCACCCAGGCTAGAGTGCAGTGGTGCAATCTCGGCTCACTACAGTCTCTGCCTCCTGAGTTCAAATGATTCTCCTGCCTCAGCAAATAGCTGGGATTACAGATGCCTACCACTATGTCCAGCCAATTTTGTATTTTTAGTAGAGACAAGGTTTCACCATATTGGCCAGGCTGGTCTTGACCTCTGACCTCAAGTGATCTGCCCCAACTCTTGGCCTCCCAAAGTGCTGGGATTACAAGCATGAGCCACCGAACCCTGCCTATTTTAAATATGTACACACACACGCACACACACACACACGAGATAGTATCTTACTCTGTTGCCTAGGGTGGGGTGCAGTGGTGCAATTATGGCTTACTGCAGTTTCCACCTGCTGTGCTCAAGTGATCCTCCTCTCTAGTAGCTGAGACTACAGAGATGGGGGTCTTGCTATGTTGTCCATGCTAGTCTTGAACTCCTGGCCTCAAGCCATCCTCCCACCTTGGCCTCCAAAAGTGCTGAGATTACTGGCATGAGCTACCATGTCCTGCCATTAAAAATAGATATTTTTCTTTTTTTTTTTTTTTGAGATGGAGTCTCACTCTGTCACCCAGGCTGGAGTGCAATTGCACGATCTTGACTCACTGCAACCTCCACCTCCCAGGTTCAAGCAATTCTCCTGCCTCAGCCTCCGGAGTAGCTGGGATTACAGGTGTGTGCCACCACGCCTGACTAATTTTTGTATTTTTAGTAGAGACAGGGTTTCACCATGTCAGTCAGGCTGGTCTCAAACTCCCGACCTCACATGATCCGCCTGCCTTGGTCTCCCAAAGTGCTGGGATTACAGGCATCAGCCACTGTACCCAGCCTATATTTTATTTTTAAAGAGCAGTTTTACACTCACAGCATAATTGAGAAGCTACAGAGACCCCATACACCCTCTCCCTGATACATACACAGTCTCCCCCTTTATCAGCATCTCTCCCCAGAGTGGTGTATTTATTATAAATGACGAAATTTGCATTGAGGTATATCATCACCCAAGGTCCATAGTGTACATTAGGGTTTATTCTATGGGTTTTGACAAAAGTGTAATGACTTGTATCCACCATTATAGTATCATATAGAGTAGTTTCACTGCCCTAAGAATCCTCTGTGCTCTGCCTAGTCATCCCTCCCTCGTCTCTAATTCCGGGCAACCACTGATCCTTTTACTATCGCCAGAGGTCGCCTTTCCCAGAATGCCATATAGTTGGAATCGTATAGTATGTAGGATTTTTTCTTCCTTCCTTCCTTTCTTCTTTCCTTCTTTTCTTCTCTCTTTCTCTCTTTCTTTTCTTCTTTATGCTCCTTCTTGCACACCGATAGGCTTTTCAGATTGGCCTCTTTTACTCAGATGTACTTAAGGCTTCTCCATGTCTTTTCATGGCTTGATAGCTCATTTCTTTTTAGCGATGAATAATATTTCATTGTCTGGTTGTACCACACTTTATCCATTCATTACTAAAGGACATTTTGGCTGCTTCCAAGTTTTGACAATTATGAATAAAGCTGCTGTAAACGTTCGATGCGGGCGTAAGTTCCTGAGTGGACGTATGTTTTCAACTCCTTTGGGTAAATCCCAAGGAGTATGTGATTGCTGGATCATATGAGTACAGATAAGCATGCGTTTAGTCTTGTAGGAAACTGCCGAACTGTCTTTTAAATGGATGTATCATTTTGCATTCCCACCAGCAACGAATGAGGGTTCCTGTTGCTCCAGCATTTGGTGTTGTCAGAGTTCTGGGTTTTTGCTCTTCTGACAGGTGGTACCTCATTGTTTAATTTACATTTCCCTGATAACACATCATGTGGGGCACCTTTCATATGCTTATTTCCCAACTGTGTATCTTGGTGAGGTGTCTGTTAAGATCTTTGGCCCTTTTAAAAATTGGGTTGTTTTCTTTTTGAATTTTAAGAGTTCTTTGTATATTTTGGAGAACAGTCCTTTATCCAATATTTTCTCCTAGTTTGTGGCTTGTCTTTTCATCCTCTAAACAGTGTCTTTCACAGAGCAGAAAGTTTTAATTTTAGTGAAGACCAGCTTATCATTCATTTTCTTTTTTTTCTTTCTTCCTTTTTCTCTTGCCTTCCCTCCCTCCCTCCCTCTCTCTTTCTTTTATCCCCTCCTTTCTTCCTTCTCTTTCTTTTTTCTTTCATTTTGAAATAAAACTTTATTGTGATTTCTTATTGTTATAAAAAGACAGACAATTGCTCGGGAGGAGTGTACTCCCATAAAATGTCCGCCTCCCTTCTTGGTGTGCCACTGGTTCCTATCTTTACTTGTTCTTTGTGTAATTGACCTACTATTTTGAGAGGATCATGTTAGCAACTTCAGACCAAAATTGTTGCTTTACCTATTCCTCCCTGGAATTTGATCAGTCCAGTTGACACTGTATGTATTTTGAGGCCGTTGGCATCATCTATATGACAATTATATCTTCTTTGCTATTATTATTTTACTTTTTTGTAATGCATATAACACCTCTGTGTTTTATGATATTTTTGTCTCAAATTATATTTTGTCAGTTATTAAGACTGTCATCCAACTTCCCTTTTTGTCTATATTGGCCTTTTAATTTTATATTTTCTAACTTTCTGTAATTATTTTATTTTAAGGATCAATTCTTTCTTTCACGGATTATGCCTTTGGTGTTATATCTGAAAAGTCATCGTCAAACCGAAGACTGTCTAGATTTCTTTTTCCTGCGCTATCTTCTAGGAGTTCTGTCGTTTTGCATTTAATATTTAGGTCTGTGGCCACTGTGAATTAATATTTGGGAAGATTCTAATGTCTGTGTCTAGATTCATTTTCTTGCAGGTAGGTAGACGTCCAGTTGTTCCAGCACCATTTTCTTTTCTTTTTTTGTTTTTGAGACACGGTCTCATTCTGTCACCCAGACTGAGTGTGGTGGCACAATCACGGCTCGCTGCAGCCTCAAACTTCCTAGCTTAAGCAATCCTCCTGCCTCAGCCTCTCCAGTAGCTGGGACTACAGGACTGCACTAGCAGTAGTGCCCAGCTAGTTTTTGATTTTTTTCTTTTTCTTTTTTGAGACAGAGTCTTGCTATGTCACCCAGGCTGGAGTGCAAAGTGGCACAGTCTCAGCTTACTGCAAACCCTGCCTCCTGGGTTCAAGCAATTCTCTAGCCTGAGTCTTCTGAGTAACTGGAATAAGAGGTGTGTGCCACCACACCTGGCTAATTTTTTTGTATTTTTAGTAGATGCAGGGTTTCATCGTGTTGGCCAGGCCAGTCTCGAACTCCTGGCCTCAGGTGATCCACCCACCTTAGCCTCTCAAAGCCCTGGGATTATAGGTGTAAGCCACTGCACCTGGTCAATTTATTATTTTTTCTAGAGATGGCATCTCACTTTGTTGCCCAGGCTGGTCTGGAACTCCTGTACACAAGTGATCTTCCTACCTCAGTGTCCAAAAGTGCTGGGATTACAGGCATGAGCCACTGCACCCAGCCCAGCACCATTTTTTGAGGACTTTTTTCTCCAGTGTGTTCCCTTTGCTCCAAAGTAAGTTGACTAGACTTACTTGGGTCTATTTCTGGACTCTCTGGTCTGTTCCATTGATCTATTTGTCTATTCTCTTTTTTTTTCTTTTGACAGAGTCTCACTGTGTCACCCAGGCTGGAGCGCAGTGGTGCCATCTCGGCTCACTGCAACCTCCGCCTCCCAAGTTCAAGCAATTCTCATGCCTTAGCCTCCTGAATAGCTGGGATTACAGGCACGTGGCTGTAGTAGAGATGACGGGGTTTCACCATGCTGACCAGGCTGGTCTTGAGCGCCTGACCTCATGTGATCTGCCCACCTCAGCCTCCCAAAGTGCTGGGATTATGGGCGTGAGCCGCCGCACTTGGCCTGTTGTCTATTCATTTACCTGTACCATAGTGTCTTGATTACTGTAGCTTTGTAGTAAGCCTTGAAATCAGATACCGCCAGTTCTCCAATATAGTACCATTTGGATTCCTTATTTTATGACAACAATCGTTTTAAAGATTTTATAGTCCCAATCTGATTCTGTTGTCTGAAGGTGTGCTGTTAGTGTAAGCGGCTCTCACGTGTGGCGAGTGTTTCACGTGTTTAGGAATGTGGAGCTCTACTCATTAATGGCTTTGTCCTTCATGAGGGTTCTCATCATGAGGGCTCCATTGTGGGAGGCCCCTCTGGAGAAGTTTGCTTTGCTTCTGTCAGGATCTCTAGGGAGGGCTTGTTCCTGACTTAAATGGGATTACGTTCCAAGTTAGTGTGATGTTTGATATAGGTTTTTAGGTAGGTTCCCTTTATCAGCTTAAAGAAGTTCCTCCATTTATAGTTTGTTAAGGCTGGCTAAAAAAGACAAAAAATGGCTGGGTGCAGTGGTTTAAACCTATAATCCCAGTACTTTGGAAGGCTGAGGCAGGCAGATCACCTAAGGCCTGCAGTTCAACACCAGCCTGGCCAACATGGGGAAACCCCATCTCTATTACAAATACAATCACTTAGCTGGGTGTGGTGCCACGTGCCTATAATCCTAGCTACTTGGAAGGCTGAGGCATAAGAATTACTTAAACCCAGGAGGCTGAGGTTACAGTGAGCCAAAATCACTGCACTCCAGCCTGGGTGACAGAGTGAGACTCTCTGTCAAAAAAAAGAAAGGAAGAAGGAAACTTAGGCCAACTTTTAAATAAACGAATAAATAAAAATTTAAAAACCATAATGGTATTAAATTTTATTGACTTACTTTGCTGCTTCTGTTGAGATAATCCAGTGTTTTCCCCCAATATTTTACTTATTCATTTATTTACTGAGACAGAGTCTAGCTCTGTCACCCAGGCTGGAGTGCAGTGGTGTGATCTCAGCTTACTGCAACCTCCGCCTTCCTGGTTCAAGCAATTCTTGTTCCTCAGCCTCCTGAGTAGCTGGGATTACAGGTGCCGGCCACCACGACTGGCTAATTTTTGTATTTTTAGTAAAGACATGGTTTTACCATGTTGGCCAGGCTCATCTCAAACTCCTGACCTCAAGTGATCTGCCCACCTTGGCTTCCCAAAGTGCTGGGATTACAGGCATGAGCCACTGTGCCCGCCCGGCCCAAATGTAATCTTTAAAATGGTAAATACATTGAAACGTTTTTGTGTATGCTGTTGAATTTAATCTAAGATTTCATTTAGGATTGTGGCATCTATGTTGACATAAGTGACATAGGGCTATACTTTTCTTTTCCTCTAATGTCCTTAACCAGGACAATTTTGGGTTTGGCTTTCAAGATTACACCAAAATGATAAATTAGCTAATGATTTCAAAAACCTTTTACTATATCTTAATACAGAGCCTTTCCCTCCATTTTCACCACTGTTGTCCTCTGGACTGTGGTCATTTCCATTTGCTCCCCACACAGAGAATATGCCCACACCAGGCCACCCACTTGACCTGTCAGTCCCAGGTCCCAGAGAGCTTAACACACAGCAGTAAAGCCACTGCCGTAACTGCTGGAGCCTATGCAGGGAGACACTCGGGGAACATTTGTGGAATGAATGAGCAAATCCTTGAGCCAGACTAACCGATATTTTGTCCTCTGCAGAAAAGGGGCCTTGCTGTTCAACAACATATTTTCTATCGTGCCTGCGATCTTAATGGGATGCAGCAAAGTCGCCAAGTCCTTTGAGCTTATCATTATTTCCAGACTTTTGGTGGGAATATGTGCAGGTAAACAATGCTATGCTGTATTGCCATTCTGTGAGGGTCGTCCAGGAAGGGGACAACAGGCCCCCAAGGACTAGAACCAATCTGTGATCTCTGAAGTGTATAGAAAGCCATTCCTATGCCTCTACTGTGATATAGATGCTTGAGTTCTATGTGGGTCTCAGGTGCAAAAGAAAGCAGAGCTTTACTGTGATGTGTCCTACAAAGAAACATCTTTGAAAGACTGAAATGCAGAATCTTAACCTGGGAAGAATCCTTTCAATCCAATCCTTTATCTCAATATGTTGTAAACATATTTAGAACATATTGAGATAAAGTATCACACACACACATATATAACCTTATCCTTACTCCATATAACACAGTCTCTTCCATGTTATTTATTTATGAGACAGGGGGATATGGTTTGGCTCTGTGTCCTCACCCAAGTCTCATCTTGAGTTATAATCCCCACTTGTCAAGGGAAGGACCTGGTGGGAGGTGATTGGATCATTTCTCCCATGGTGTTCTTTAAACTGTAGGTGACGACCAGTTAGTGGGTGGTGATATCTGTTTAATGAGCAGCATTTTCTTTTTCAAAATAGGATAGCTGGGTGCAGTGGCTCACACCTGCAATCCCAGCTACTCTGGAAGCTAAGGCAGGAGGATCACTTGAGCTCAGGAATTTGAGACCAGCCTGGGCAACACAGTGAGACCCTGTGTTTTAGTCCATTTTCACACTACGATAAAGAATACTCCCCGAGACTTGGTAATTTATAAAGAAAAGAAGTCTAATTGACTTACAATTCCCCCTGGCTGGGGAGGCCTCAGGAAACTTACACTCATGATGGAAGGGGAAGCAGGCACGTCTTACACAGCAGCAGGTGAGAGAGAGGGAGAGAAAGTGAGAGTAGGGAAACTGCCTTATAAAACCATCCAATCTCATGAGAACGCAGTATCACAAGAACAACATGGGAGAAATCTCTCTCATGATCCAATCACCTCCCACCAGGTCCTTCCCTTGACACATGGGAATTATAAGTCGCCATGAGATTTGGGTGAGGACACAGAGCCAAACCATATCCCCCTGTCTCATAAATAAATACACACACACACGAGAACCAGGTTGCAGTGTAAAATGTATTTGTGTTTTTTTACTGTAGGTGAGAGTCAAAAAAGCTTGAGAAACAATCTAATGTATGAATTCCACCACCAGAAAGGTGTTGACAATGCCACATTTTAAGTTTTATAGGGGAATTTCAAGTTTGCCAAGGCATCCTGAGTTCTATTCCCGAAACACCCACCTGCTGAGAGGGTGCCGACTCGCTGAGGCCTCTCGTCTAACAACCTGGGAGGTGGCTTCTCCTAAGCCTACTCTGTTGCCTCCAAGCCTAGGCTGCCAGGCTGTACTGCGGTGACTTTAGAAAATTCTCCCCGGGGTCCAAAGTGGCTCCCGCCGGAGGTCATGGCGCTCGCGAAGGCGAGGTCATCAGTTCAAGGCTAACCTGAGCAACCTCATAAAGCTCAAACTGATTGGCAAAAAAAAAAAAAAAAAAGAAAATTCTCCCATAGCTGCATCATACTGAAGAGAAATGAGAGTACAGCCATGTCGGGGGCTTTCCCTGAGTTGCCATCCTTAGTTGGCAGTATTTCTCAGGCCCAGGAAGGGAGAGGCATCTAGGGTGCAAGCTCTCAGGGTCCTACAAGTGCAGGGTGGGCCCCTGGAGGGAGCCCCTCCTGGGGGCCTCACTGCCTCCCTCCAGTCACTGTCCCAACATTGCCAAGGAACTCTCATTTGTTTCTTCCAAATGCAGGGATAGGGACAAACGGATAATTTGGCTGGCAGTCTGCAAACCCCTCAGCTGGGATTAATTGGCAGTAACAGAGACATGAAAAAAAGATGAAAGACGTTTCCCAAGCATGGACTAAGTCATGCCCAAGGGAGGCTGATGAGCCCTACGGCAAACTTTATCTGGTGCTCGGCTTTCCCTGAGAGTACCCGGCTGGGTCTCTGCCATCTTGCCCTGACCTGTGGGTTTTCTCTGCAGTGGGCTCAACTTCTTGAAAAATAGATGATTCCTAAAAGTTGTCAGCAGTGAGCAGGTCCAATCACTTCTGTTGACCATTAACAATACAGAATTGTTTCCAATGGAGAAATAGTAGGCTCCAGTAATAACCAATCAGTTAAAAGTCTCAACCTTCACTCTGAAGTCAGCAGTTCTCGAAGTTTTAGGTCTCAGGCCCCTTTGCACACTTAAAATTATCGAAGGCTCCAAAGAGCTTTTGCTCATGTGGGTTATATTGATCAATATTTGCTGTATTAGAAATGGCAAGCGAGAGTCATATTAATTCATTTTTTAAAATAAGCCTATTACATGAAGAGTTGTTTTATTTTACATTTTTGCAAATCTCTTGAATGTCTGGCCTCATCAAAGACAGCTGAATTCTCAGACGTACCTCTGGGTCAGGTCAGTTGTGATGTGGCGTGGCGGGCACTCTCTGGAAAACTCCCATATGCTCATGAGAGAAAGAGAATGAAGAGCAAATATCATCATCTCAGGATTATCACAAAAATCGTTTTGATCTCACAGATGCCCTTAAAAGGTCTTGGGATCCCCAGGTCCTCAGATCATGGTTTGAGAACACTGGTCATTGGGTAATCCATTAGCTGTCAGTTTTTCACATACCTCCTGCAAGTCAGCAAAGTAGGTCACCAAGCTATGTGCTGCTTAGACACTCATCTTAAAACCACCCACGTGGCCGGGTATGGTGGCTCACGCCTGTAATCCCAGAACTTTGGGAGGCTGAGGCAGGTGGATCACTTGAGGTCAAGAGTGCGACACCAGCCTGGCCAACATGGTGAAACTCCGTCTCTACTAAAAATATAAAAATTAGCTGGGTGTGGTGGAGTAGGTCTGTAATCCCAGCTACTAGGGAGACTGAGGTACAAGAATCGCTTGAACCCAGGAGGGGGAGGTTGCAGTAAACTGAGATTGTGCACCTGTGCTCCAGCCTGGGCGACAGAGCGAGACTCTGGTCTTGCAAACAAAACAACCAAACACAAAAATAAAACCTCCCATATGAACGAGAACCACATGGCTCACTCTAAAATGAAGTAAACAACTACCTTGACAAGGGGGTGCCAAGACGAGCGTGACTGTGATTTGAACATGCTCGTACTCACTGATTTGTTATTAGTCAACTTCTTGGTGGGAAGACTGAAGGTATTCAGTGGCTCAGAGGAACTTAAACTTACTGTTGGTTGGTTGGTTGGTTTGAGATGGACTCTTGCTTAGTTGCCCAGGCTGCAGTGCAGTGGTGCGATCTCAACTCACTGCAAGCCCCACCTGCCCAGTTCAAGCAATGCTCAAGCCTCATCCTCCCGAGTAGCTAAGACTGCAGGTGTGAGTCACCACACCCGGCTAATTTTTTTGTATTTTTTGTAGAAATGGGGTTTTGCCATGTTGGCTAGCCTGTTCTCAAACTCCTAGCCTCAAGTGATCCACCCGCCTCGGCCTCCCAAAATGCTGGGATTGTAGGTGTGAGCTGCGGTGCCCAGCAGGAGGAATTTAAACTTTAAAAGCCACTTTGCTCTGACTCCAGTGTCAGAAGTAGCTGGCTGGGACGTCCTTGTGGAATCATTTTAAAGACAAAAATAGAGATTGCTTTCCACTAACATACAGGTAACCCCATCTCTTCACAGACCTCCTGAGGTTTGAAGGAGGTCTTTTTATGTCCTTTTATGTCCTTCACTAAGTTAAGGTGCTCTTGCCGCTAAGTGGCCCCCAGGCTCTTGTTAAGTGGTAAGGACAGAGCCTCCACTTCAGCTCCCAGGAGGCCTTGCCTTCCTCTGCAGCTCTTTGCCCTGGGCCTGTGGGGTGTTGCCCCCTCTTCCCACCTAGGCATGCTAAGAGCTGCTTTAAAGACTGCCCCTCTTTGCTCTGAAAATGGAGAAGAATCAGTATTAATGAACTGTGATATCTCTTTTCAAATATTAATCAGAGATGTCTGTGGGTAGAATTGCCAAGCAGGAAAACATGGCCTCAGGTACCCTCCCGTCTCAGTGCCATCCAACACCCCACCATCGACAGCAGCTGCAGCCTCCACTTGCTCCAAACTCTGTTCCTGAGGGTCTCCCTGTCAGACACCCACATCCTCTGAGCCTCTGCTTGACCCAGGATTGGCTACATGCTACTTGGACTAGTAAAACTTCCTCTCTATCCCCAGCCTCTGGATGTGCTTTTAGGAGAATTAAATAGGACAATGTGTGTGAAAATACTTTGGAAGCTGTAAAATTAAATTCTGCCTATTTTTTTTTTTTTGAGACGGAGTTTCACTCTTTTACCCAGACTGGGGCGCAATTGCACGATCTCGGCTTACCGCAACCTCCGCCTCCTGGGTTCAAGCAATTCTCCTGCCTCAGCCTCTCGAGTAGCTGGGACTACAGGCGTGCACCACCATGCCCAGCTAATTTTTCTATTTTTAGTAGAGACGGGGTTTCACCTTATTGACCAGGATGGCCTCGATCTCTTGACCTCGTGATCCACCCGCCTCGGCTTCCCAAAGTGCTGGGATTATAGGCATGAGCCACTGCGCCCGGCCAATTCTGCCTATTTTTTTTATTAACAGCAGGCAATATCTCATTCTATAAAATATAGTAAGTTTTCCCTCCACTAGATTCTAGTACAATGGAAAAATGGACAAGTTTAAATACTGGGGATTCAGAAGTAGTTCAGACATTACATACATCCCAGAAATGCAGATATTCCATAATATGTATTGAAATTTCTAATGCTTATTGAGACATATAACTTGTTCTTAAAGGTATATGAAAGTATCTCTGCATTGGTTTATTATATGCGGAGGGCCAGGGGTCCTTAGCCATACACGCATACACACACCATGTACACACATACACCCACCCAGGATTTATATATATGTGTATATATGCACACACACACACACACAGAGGCCATATACACATACAACATGCCATGTATGTATATATACACACACCAGGCCATATATATAAGGCATATATATATTTATAAACACACATGCATACACACAGAAGCCATATCCATATACACACACACAAGCCATACACACATGCAGGCTATACACACACACACATACACAGAGGCCATATACACATATACACACATGCCATATATAAATACACACACACAGGCCATATATATACACACATACAAACACATATATTATGCGTATACACACACATATATGTATATATACACATATATTTTAGTGGAAACAGGGTCTCACTATGTTGCCCAGGCTGGTCTCAAACTCCTGGCCCCAAGTGGTCTACCCTCCCCACAGCCTCTGCAAGTGCTGAAATTACAGGCATGAGCCATCATACCTAGCTGCCTTACCATGTATTAAACAGATCCTCCACAAAAAGCAGAAACATGAGCGGGTCTCGACTTAGGCCGGGGCAGAGGGAAGGCCCTAGGTCAAGCTGGCCGGGGCCTCCAGATGACATGGGCTGAAACAAGGGACCCTGTGGGTGAGCTCGTTTGTAGTTTTCAGAGAGTTCTGGCCCAAATAATGTGATTGCTAAGAATAATATACTTGAAGACACAGCTTGTCCCTGCCAGACTAATTTTTCCTGATGGTGTTTCGATTTCACCTCCTCCCAGGTCTATCTTCCAATGTGGTCCCCATGTACTTAGGGGAGCTGGCCCCTAAAAACCTGAGGGGGGCTCTTGGGGTGGTGCCCCAGCTCTTCATCACCGTCGGCATCCTCGTGGCCCAGATCTTTGGTCTTCGGAATCTCCTTGCAAATGAAGATGGTGAGTTCAGGACATCTCGGGACCACCCCCACCCCTTCACCACCACCCTTGGCCCCTCCTCATTCTCCAAAGCCACCACCACAGGACAGGGCTTTTTGCCAACTGGTCTCTTGTAATAGGGTGGCTGTCCTTGGGGGGCCTATCCTGTCCTGAGTCCACACAGCAGGCCCTGGACAAAGGCATGATGATGGACTGGCTAGTGTTTACTCTCTGTCCCTCTTAGGAGATGGATGAGGTGGCTTTGAGTGATCTGCTTCTCTGCCTGCTGAGCGGCTGTCCATATGGAGGCCCGTGGCATAGCAATGACAGCCACCAGTGTGCCAGGCTCTGTGCTTGGGGCAGGCCCAGCATCAGTTCACAGGACTGTTCCCACCAACACTGTGGTCTGGGGCTCGGTGACGATCCCATTTTGCAGACCAGAAAGGGAAGTACCAGGAGTCAGGGTGGCCTGGCCCCATGGGTGAGGTGGTGAGGACATCCCAGACCCTGCCTCCACCCTCCCCAAGACAGCCCAGGGCCTAGCATACGGAAGTTGAACAGATGCCTTTAACTGGTGTTGTTTTTGCATGACTTTCTCCCTTAAACCATCATCAGTCATCCCATCAGTCAAAACATAAGCCATTTCCCATCAGGGTTTCACATCCTGCCTGCAAGTCAGTCAAGTGGACCATCAAGCTCTGTGCTGCTTAGATGCTCTCTATAGAAAGTGCTTGTTGTGGGCCAAGTGCCAAGTCTTTTTTAGTAACTCATGCGTTCCTCAGAACAGTCCTATGAAGCCTGGGCCAGTATCATACCCATTTTACAGGTGTATCACCTGAGGCACAGAGAGATTGGAAAACTGCTCCAAGGTCTCATGAGGATACAGACCCATGGCACAGGACTAGGTCCTTGTTTCAGTGCCACATGCTCCTGCTTCTCCTTCACTCCTGCATGTGTTGGGGACACTTATACTGCGGTGCCATGCCCTCATTAGGAGCTGGGACCAGAAGTGAATCAGCCAGGTTCCTGCCTCAGGGAGCTCTGTAGCAGAACTCAGAACCACATACTCTAGGCGTTTGTGAAGCTCTCTGCTTCATTTCCTTGCTTTGCCTCTGGTTTCACCTTTGGCCGTGGCAGGGTGAATGTTACCATTTCTGAGCCTCACAGTGTGTGGACTTGCACTCAACACCTAGTCTGTGAGATGCGTCCACGCTGAGTCTTGCTGCGTGTTCACTGCAGTATCAAACTCCACTCATGAGTGCGGCCAGCCCACGTGTCCCCTCTACGTGGAATATTCAGGACATTCCCACTGTTTGTGGTGTCCTTTCTATCATCAAAGCTGTGGTGACCATTCCAGTTCAGGTATCCTGGTAGCCTGGCTTCTCTGGGCGCAGAGCTGGGAGCGGGCAGCTGGGTCAGGCCAGGTGTGCCCAGCACCTCCAGCCGCTGGGAGACTGCCCTCTGAAGGACACGGGGACGTTCTCACCAGTACTTGGTGTTGTTGGCCTCGTGGGTGTGGTCCCTCTGGTGGGCGTAGTGATGCATCGCTGCTGAGCCCTGATGCCGGTGCTTCCCAAGTGTCCACTGCGGGGAATTGCTGTTCTTAGGGCTCGGAAAGCTGTGCCCTCCTGACCTGTGCCCCGCTCAGGGTGATGGGGCCGGCTCCGTGCTCCGTGCAGAGGGTGCCTGTTGGGTGGTGGGGAGGCCGCTGGTGCCAGCTCGCTGCCTTCCTCCCAGGCTGGCCGATCCTGCTGGGGCTGACCGGGGTCCCTGCGGCACTGCAGCTCGTTCTGCTGCCCTTCTTTCCCGAGAGCCCCAGATACCTGCTGATTCAGAAGAAAGATGAAGCGGCAGCCAAGCAAGGTAACGAGGACCCGGGCGGGTACGGCCTCCAAGCTTTGCCCCCCAACCCTGGTCCGACGGCGCCACTTCTCCCTAGCCCTGAAGACACTGCGCGGCTGGGACTCTGTAGACGCGGAGGTGGCCGAGATCCGGCAGGAGGACGAGGCCGAGAAGGCCGCCGGCTTTATCTCGGTGCTGAAGCTGTTCCGGATGCGCTCGCTGCGCTGGCAGCTGATATCCATCATCATCCTCATGGGCGGACAGCAGCTGTCGGGCGTCAACGCCGTATGGGCCGGGCCGTGGCTCGCGAGCTGGGGAGGGCTTGGGGGCGCGGGGCGTGGGTCCCAGCGCAGAGGCCGCCTCCTTCGGGCAGCCGCCCAGCCCAGCACTTGCCTTGCAGATATACTATTACGCGGACCAGATCTACCTGAGCGCCGGCGTGAAGGAGGAGCACGTGCAGTATGTGACGGCCGGCACCGGGGCCGTGAACGTGGTCATGACCTTCTGCGCTGTGAGTGTCGTGGGAGCAGCCCACAGCCTCCACCCAAAGCCCCTCGGGCCCCCACGTCCCAGCCTCGGCGCCGCCAAGAGGGCAGCCCGTGGTTCCCAAACGTGGAGGCCCAGCCCCTTCTACAGAAGCTCCATGTGGGAGGTGGCCCCGCACCGGCCCTTCACACTAGGGCCTGCCGAGCTGCACCGGGCCTGGGGCGACCACCTGACAGGAATGTAGGGGTGCCTGGACCGGGCAGAGCCCAATGCCAGGTAGCTCCAAGCCCGGGGTACCTGGAGTGAGGCTCGGCCACCTCAGGATGGGAACAGGCTCCGTGGGGCAGCGTCTCCGGTGCATGCAGACATCTGGTCTCCCGGGCGGGCGCGGATCCTCAGGCTCAGGGTTGTCGGATTAGGAGGCCCTAGAGCCCAGTCTCAAGGGCGGGCAGCTGGGGGTCCCACATCCCAGCCACAGCCGACTTCCTGCTGGCCAACCGAGGGCATGTCTTGCACACAGGAGTGAGTGTGCGTGCACACGGGTGGGCACCCGGCTTGCCCAGCTCTCCTTAGAGCTGCTCCATGGGAAGGGGCTGGAAGGAGGGTGAAGCTGGGCCTCTCTCACCTGAGCCCTGCTGCCCTCCTGTAGGTGTTCGTGGTGGAGCTGCTGGGTCGGAGGCTGCTGCTGCTGTTGGGCTTCTCCATCTGCCTCACAGCGTGCTGCGTGCTCACCGCGGCTCTGGCCCTGCAGGTGAGGGCAGGCCAGGGTCCCCAGAGCCCAGAGCTGCACCAGGAAGACCAGGGCCACTCCTACCTTCACCCCGACCTTCCTTAAAAGGAAAAGGGGTCACAGTGAGCTATTTTAGCAAATGCAAGTGGCCAGACATCTAGTGACCAATAGCCCACAACCCACATTCAGCTGATTTTCCAGTGGCTCATCGAGGTGGCACTGCTGGGGGAGGAACCAGGTGCCGTCCTCCACCCACCAAGGCAGGTTGGCCACACCCTGGGGTCCCATCCTAGCTTGTCTGCTCCAGGTGAACCAACTGCTTTCTCTCCACAGAACACGGTGTCCTGGATGCCATATATCAGCATCGTCTGTGTCATCTCCTATGTTGTGGGACATGCCATTGGACCCAGTATGTACCTGAAGCTGGCCTCAGGATGTCACCACCCCCTCCAGTCCCAGAAGCTCCTAGCTGGAGCTCCTTAGAGGCATCAGGGATGGCCCAATGCAGCCTGAAAATGGCATCTCTTCCCGGCTCCACTGCAGGGGTGTGGGGGGTGGCACAAAATGAGGGTGAAAATGGTAAAGTGGTGGTGTGGGTAGGAACACGCAGACTGTGCAAGCAGCAGAGTGGGCCTCCCAGGTGGTCGCTGGCCGGCCATCCCTGTACGCTGCCATTTGCCTCCTGCATGCTGCCCCACAGCCTGAGTCCTGGAGACGCCGCTGCTCCAGGGCCTGCATGGCCAGGCCTGGGATGCTCGGGCCTTCTCTGCCTTCAGGGAGGCTGCTCTCCTCCCACCGCAGGTCCCATCCCCGCACTGCTCATCACTGAGATCTTCTTGCAGTCCTCTCGGTCATCCGCCTTCATGGTGGGGGGCAGCGTGCACTGGCTCTCCAACTTCACCGTGGGCTTGATCTTCCCATTCATCCAGGTGAGTGGGGCCCACTCTCACCAGATCCCCATGCAGTAGAGCTCAAGCCCATGGGCAAGCCCCGTCCCACACGTCACCTGCCCCTCTTCCCGCAGGAGGGCCTCGGCCCATACAGCTTCATTGTCTTCGCTGTGATCTGTCTCCTCACCACCATCTACATCTTCCTGATTGTCCCCGAGACCAAGGCCAAGACGTTCATGGAGATCAATCAGATTTTCACCAAAATGAATAAGGTGTCTGAAGTGTACCCAGAAAAGGAGGAACTGAAAGAGCTTCCACCTGTCACTTCAGAACAGTGACTCCAGAGAGAAGCCAGTGGAGCGGGTCTGCCAGGGGCTTCCTCCTTTGGGCTGTTTTTCTGACTTCTAGCTGTCTGTAAATATCCAGAAATAAAACGAGTCTGACGTGGAATGCAGCCCTCATCTCCAGCCTCCCCACTCCAGTGGGAACTGTGCAAAGGGCCTCCTTGCTGTTCTTGAAGCCAGGCTGTCTCCAGATTGGCCCGTCACCAGCCCGAGTCAAGCAAACAGCTGGTCCTCCACCTTGCTGGGTCAGCCTTTGTGTGGCTCCTGGTAACATAATAAAAACAGTTACTATAGTGGCGAAATGGAAGGAATTAAATTTTGCCAGATAAACTGACTGTGGCCCCGACAGATCTTCTGGGGCCCTGGGCATTTGTTTAGAGCCAAATTCATCCTCTTATCAGATCCTTTTCCAGAAATACCTATCTAGGAAGGTGTGATATCAGAAACGACATCCAGAAAGCTAAGGAACAGGTCCCTGTGGAGACACTGAGTCAGAATTCTTAATCCTAAATTATATTATCAGTGGAAAATGGAATTGCTTCTGTGTAGTCAATAAAATGAATCTGATCACTTTTCAACAAGACATGCTGCTGTTTGAGAGCAAATGGAAGGCAGGAGGAAGTTCCAGGCTCCTTCAGCCAGTTCGACTGCACAGGTAGTAGTTCCTTGAGGGCAGGGGCTTGGTCAGTTTTGTTTATCCCTGAATCTCCAGAATCTAGAAGAGGGCCTCTGGAGGCTGAGGTGGGAAGATTGCTTAAGCCTGGGAGGTGGAGGTTGCAGTGAGCTGAGATTTCACCACTATATTCCAGCCTGAGCAACACAGACCCCATCTCAAAAAAAAATTTTTTTTAACTGGGCATGGTCCCAGCTATTTGGGAGGCTGAAATGGGAGGATCACTTGAGTCCGGGAGGTCAAGGCTGTCCTGAGCCATGATTGCATCACTGCATTCCAGCCTGGATGACAGAGTGAGACCTTGTCTCAAATAAATATATAAATAAATAAAAGATTGAGCAAGCTTCCAAATGTCCTCAGCTGTGTAGTGAAATCTTGAGGAGTCTTGAAATCTTGAGACTGTGGCCAGGGAGGAAGGGAAAAGGAACAGTGTCTTGATATGGTTTGGCTGTGTCCCACCCAAATCTCATCTTGAATTGTAGCTCCCATAATTCCCCTGTGTTATGGGAGGGACCCTGTGGGGGATAATTGAATCATGGGAGCAGTTTCCCCCATACTGTTCTCATGGTAGTGAATCGGCCTCATGAGATCTGATGGTTTTATAAGGGGAAACACCTTTTGCTTGGTTCTTATTCTCCCTTGTCTGCCACCATGTAAGATGTACCTTTTGGTTTCTACCATGATTGTGAGGCCTTTTCAGCCATGTGGAATGGTGAGTACATTAAACCTCTTTTTCATTACAATTTACTCACTCTCTGGTATGTCTTTATAAGCAGCATGAAAATGCATTAACACAGGTCTCCCCCCAGAAATATAGAGAGCTGGAGGCTTTTCTTAGAGATATGAATAAAGGGTGCAAGTGTAAGTGTACGTATGTGCAAAAACATAGATAAAACCTTGAAAGTGCTGAATGGCCTGTGCAAGAAGTGATGTCTTCTCCTGGTAGTTGGGTGGCAGAGACTGGTGGCCAGGAGAGACAGTAGTGGGACTTGGGAGCACCTTTTGTGGGTATGGAATGGCGATTCCACAACCAACAAGCTAAATTACTCACAAGCAGGTCCAGAGGAAGTGAATGAACACTGTGGTTGAACCATCCTTGACCTTCTGCAGCAGGGATCTGCATCCTGGAAGGGGCACAGAAACAACCAAAGAGGAAGGCTCTGAGAGCTGAGGAGTAGCCAGGTTAGGATATCAGAAGTTAAGACACTGTGGCACCTCTAACACAGGGGAGGCTATGAAATTCATGGTTCTGGATGTCTACTTCCTGGGTTCAAACTTTGGTTATGCCACATTTATTGTGCAACTCAGGCAAGTTACTTGGCTTTTCTGTACCTCAGTTTTCTCTTCTGTTAAGTGGAACTAATAATAAATGTCTCACATGGCCATCAAGAGAATTAAATAAATTTATATGTAGATCAGTGTCATGTATTTTGTATTCTTAGGTACTTTTAAGTGCTCGGGAATAAGCATTAATCTTGAGGACAAATAAACTTACACATAAGATACAGTGAGAGACCATTATGCATATGTACTAGGATTGAGCAATGCAGTAAATGGTTGGCAGATGGTGGGGCCATTTCACAGTTGCAGTGGGAGGTTACAGATAAGCAAGGAGAGAGAGCGAATGATCCATGTGGTAGTAGATCATTATCTACTCCAAGTAGACTTGGAGACCTGGGTATGAACTCACATGCGGTTTAATAGAGATTCAGGCTACTATACAAATATTTATAGATAAGCATCTACATATGAGTTAGTAAAATACAGCAGGAGAAGAGGTGTGGGAGTACCAAAGGGAGGTGAGGAATTTGGAAAGACAAATAGGATTTCTCCAGTTGGAGAAGATGTGACAGGAAGGTGAGGGATGGGCATTCCAGGCAACAGGCAGCACAGAGAGCTGTGGAGGCATTCAGGGATGCTACGAGTTATTTGGTCTGAAAGTGAAGCCAGAGAGATAGAAGCGGGTATGGGGTGGGGACAGCTGTAGTGGATCATGTGGGTCCTGGGAGCCGAGTTGAACTTCATTGTCAAGACAACCTGGGGTTATGTGATGACCGAGTTTCCAGGAGCACCTGGCAGTAATGTGAAGGGGTGGGGCTTGGATAGGGAGACCAGCTGGTGAATAATGAGGGCCCAGCAAAGCCCTCCATGGTCAGGGCTGAATGTGAGGAAGCATTCAGAAAGTCAGTAGGATTTGGGATCCACTCAGCCCTCAGCGGTGAGCAGTCTGGCGTCCCTGCCAGATTTCTAATATGGGCCAATGGGGAAGGGCTGGAAGAGCTGGGTGGCAGGTTTTAGGAGAAGATCATATATACTTTTTGACCTGTTGAGATGGAGATCATGGGACATACAGAAGATATCTAGAAGGAAGGTGGCATGTGGCTCTGGAGCTCAGGGGAGCAGGGACATAGGTTTGGGGAAACCACATATCTGTTAGCACCTACTGTGTGCCAGGTCCTGAGTGAAAGGTGCAGTGAAGAAAAATAGCCCAAGGGGTGACAGGTGGAGGAGCAGCTGAACAGAGAGGGGAGTGAGGCGGCTGGGGGCAGCGTATGCAAACGTCTTATAGGAGAGGGTCAGCCATGGTTCAGGGAGTGATAGGAAGCAGGTGATGCTGAGGCAGAAAGGAGGTGGGGAGGAGGAAGGGGGCCCCAGGAGCATCAGAGATTCTATTCTGAATGTGTTGGGAGGCCACTGGTTCACTTGAGCCGAGAGTATTCTGATCTGATTTGCAATTTAAGAAATCATTCCAGCTGCTCCGGAGAAGAGTCTGAAGGAGACCACGAGATAGCAAGGAAATCCGATCCTTACTAGATCTGAGAATAGGTTAAAGCACCATGTTTGCGTAAGATTGCCCCAGGTTTGCTGACCGAGAGGATGAAAGGTGGGAGGTGGGCTGGGTGTGCTGGCTCATGACTGGAATCCCAGCACTTTGGGTGGGAGAATCACTTGAGGCCACGAGTTTGAGACAAGCCTAGGGAATATAGTGAGACCACCACCCTGCCCCGCCCCAGCCATCTCTACAAAAAGTAAATATAAAAATAACTGAGTGTTGTGGTGCACACCTGTAGTCCCAGCAACATGGGTGTCTGAGGCAGGAGGATCGCTTGTACCTAGGAGTCATGGTCACACCAATGCACTCCAGCCTGGGCAACAGAGCAAGACTTTTTCTCAAATAAATAAGTAACTTTTTTTTTAAGACAGGAGATGGAGCACCGTCCAACAAGGGGCACAGGAAAGCCAGCAGAGAGGACAGAGCTGCCAAGCTCTGCCATTTGCTGAGACCAGAAAGAGTCCCCCTTGGATTCAATGACTCAGTGACCTCAGGGAGTGCTATGGGAGGTAGTGTGGGGGCAGATGGTAGACTGCTAGGGTGAGGACTGCAACTGAGGCAGAAAAGAAAGATTGGGAGCTCTAGTTATTGTTCGCTCTTCCTTCCTCCCTTTGCTCTTTCTGCTTGAGTGGGTGTTTGGTCACTTACAGAACACGTACACATACATAACATAAAAAATAGGTATACACATATCGGAGGTTTGGAGCAACATCTTCTTACTGGTGGGAGGCATGATTTTCTTATAGATGTGGACCACTGGGGGCCAAGCTGCCTGCAAAGATCAGTGAAAGCTGAGGAGAAATGATGCTCTGGGAGAATTAGACAATGTCAGGGGATGGTGACGCCTCCAGAGAGCCTGCCACTGCCATCACACCAGAGCAGGGTTGGGGCTGAGCCTGGGCACTGTTACAGCTCAGCTGGGTGTGCACACACCCTGAGAAGTGCTGACATACCAGCCCCCTGCTACCTTGGCCCCCTCTGGAACTTGGGCACTGATAAGCATGAGAGGGGAAGCTGAAGGGGTGCTGAGGGTGGCCCAGTGCTGGCCTGCAGGTGCCCCTTAGTGCAAACAACCTGGGCACCACAGACAGCTGTGGGAGGCAGACAAGTTCCCGGGTGGAAGTGGACAGTTCCCCATAAGATCCCACCTTCAGGCAGGGAGGACCTAAAGGCTAGGAGCTGGGCTGCCAGTCCTGCAGACCAGAGTGGAGACTTATGATGCTTTTTCTGGGCCCACCCATGGTCCTCCATGAACCAATCAGCACGTACTTCCTCCCCTCTGAGGTCCATAAAAGCCCTGGGCTCAGCCAGAACAGGGCAGAGGATGGAGAGATGACAGGATGACAAGCTGCAGAGAGGAACTACCCTCTCCAGGGGCTCCTCTCTGTTGAAAGCTGAACACTCAATGGGACAATATGCCTGCAGAGGAGCTACCTACATGGGTCTCCTCTGAGTTGTTCCAACACTCAAGAAAGCTCCTCTTTGTCTTGTTCACCTCCACTTGTCTGTATACCTCATTCTTCCTGGATGCAGGACAAGAACTCAGGCAAAGGTGCCACCGGCCACAGGAGTTTCTGGCCAGAAAATCGACACCCCCAAATCCCATAACAATGCTAAGTCCCTGGGATGGGATCAAGGTCAGGACACTTGGCAGGTGAGAGATGGAGCCGAAGAGGGTTCAGACTCATTTACTCACCACTGTGCCCACCATGCCTGGAACAGTAGCGGGCACAGAGTAGGGGCTCATTCAGTGTTTTTTGAATAAATGAGTTTTGGGAGGGAGGATTGTAAATGGTTGATAGCAGAGCAAGAAAGAATGGAGCTAGGGAGATGTCAGCCCCCAGAAGACGTGTTCATAACCCAAATCAGGCAGCTGGAAGGTAGGTTTGACCAGTGGTTTTCACACTTCCAGATGTCACATACCAAAATTGGGTAGACTAACATCAGGCTGCCTCTTTCTATTTTGCAAATAAAAACATTTTTTAAAAATTGGTCATGTGTACTGTCTCATGCCTATAATCCCAGCAGGATTGCTTGAACCTGGGAGTTTGAGACCAGCCTGAGTAAGAAAGTGAGACCCTGTCTTTAATTTGCATATATATACACACACACACACACACACACACACACACACACACACACAATTTTTTAATAAATGAACTCTCATCAACAATCAAAATGAGGAAAAGATGTTTTAAAAGCAAGGGCATTTACTATCTATGAAGGATGTAATCACAGAATAAATTTCAGTCTTTTAAATCGAATAGGTTTTTCTTTGTGAAAACCTCACTCCATTGCCCTGTGTCCTGATATTGCCTAGTGGCTCAACCACCAGGAGAGAAACATCAGGAACAAGGGCAGGGCAGTGCTGTTCCATTACAGAAGGGCTCTCAGAAGAAAGAGCTGAAGTTCCCATCTGGAATGTTAGTTAACTGAGTCTTGCCCACTTCAGTCTGCTTTCTCCAGGGCCATTTCTTAATGCCTGCAGGAAGAATGAGAAAGCAGGTAGTTGGCATCAAATACGTATGATGTGGTTTTCTTATGCATGAACCTTTCCTTTTTCCCTCCTACTCTTCAGTGAATTGAGTGCTTTTTTCCCCCTTTTTTATGTGTTTGCCTTTTTCTTTTCTTTTTTTTTTTTCTTACAATGGCACCATCTCAGCTCACTGCAACCTCCACCACTCAGGATCAAGCAATCCTCCCACCTTAGCTTCCCCAGTAGCTGGGACTACAGACACATGCCACCATATCCAGCTAATTTTTATATTTTTTGTAGAGGCAGCATTTCGCCATGTTGCGCAGGCCGGTCTTGAGCTCCTAAACTCAAATGATGCACCAGTCTTGGCCTCCCAAAATGTTAGGATTACCGGCATGAGCCACAACACCAGGCCCTAACTGAATGCTTTTTGAGAGGCTGCTCTCGTCATCCTATGTTCTGCACAGAACCGGAACGTGTAAGTGATACATACATGGCATCTTCTGTCTTTAGGAATTTACAGTGTAGCCAGGAAGACAAACACCATGCATACCTTTTCCCTCCTTGCACCCTTGAACTCAAAGTGGGTCACCAGAGCCATCTGTGAAAATTTGGCTAGGGTCCCTGCTCTTGCCAGATATCTTTTTTTTTTTTTCCCCCCTCACTATTTGTTCCTGCTCCTTTCTTACAAATCAAGTGTTATAACACCCTTAAGTGAAAATTGCTTACTACACCTCCTTCCGGGAACTGCCTTCCTCACTCTCGTTTGCAGGAGGTGCTGTGGCCCCTCAATGTGAACAGCAAGCAGAGAGCCTTCATTGCCATCATTTTTTGCTTAATCGTTGCACTAATAGCAGGAATAATATTCACTGGTAAATAACTGCCCCCTCTTTTTTTTTTTTTTTTTTTATGGATTACAAAAGACTCTCCCATCTCTAAGTATGTGAATTTCCTAGTAGTAACTTATAGGTTACAGAAAAATAGCCAAATGTCATTTTGCTCAAGTGGAAAATCCACCTAAACAAGGTATCATTATGAATGGTTCTTTTTTGTTTGTTTGTTTTTGAGACAGAGTCTTTTTTTTTTTTTTTTTTTTTGAGGGAAAAAGAG